TGGAAAATGGAAAATGTATATTTGTGTGCCCTCTGCCCAGCCAGTTTATTTGAAATCCCTTTTTTCCCTTTTTTTTTTTTTTTTTTTTTCTCTCTTACTAGCTTGGAATGTGCCTCTGCACATCGTTTTTCTACTGAAGTTGGACTGCGGGTGATTGACCTGTGGTGTTTCACAGGGTCATCTCCCCCGTCTCTGCCGTACGTCTTCAGTGACCGTCCGGGGGTCAGTAAGCTTTTACACACTCAGATCTGGTAATAGACTGCCACATGTACTGAGTTATTTTCCATTTTCCAAGCATTATCTTACTGATTGCTCTCCATCTGCAGTTGCAGTGACCACTTTTCATTGCTTCCCCAGAGTCTGTGCCTATTGTCTTTGCTGATCTTGCGAAAAGCTTTAAAATCTTTTTTTTTTAAATGTCACCCGTGTGACAATCCTATTTTCTGGTTTATCGGATAGACTTCAGCCTGATGGTTTCCTTGCATTCCATGTTTGATCTGCATTTAATAATTATTTTCAACAAAAGCAAAGTTTCTCTTGGTTTGGCTTTCCCCTCCCTCTTCCATAGGTATTTTTTAGCACAGTTTGTCTCTTACCCGTTGCACTTGAACCTTTCCTGAACCGTTTCATTTCTGCTTTGATTTCTGTCGGCTGGAATTGAAGCTTGTTTCATGCATGTTTGACCATGGCCTGTGCATCCTCAGGACTTAAAGTGGAAACTCAAGAGGCACATTGTGATCCCGGAGACTTTTGAAAGCTCGGCATTAGCAAAGCCCAGCTGGATGTGTTTAGCTTTCGGGATGGGTTTTCATGTTCTCTCTTCGCTGTGTTTGTGTCTTCCATCAGTCAGCTTAACTCTGGGACTGACAAAGCATTTTCTGTCATTGTCAATGAATTTTGGCGTGTTAGTGAGCTGTGGATCTGGGCTGGCCTCTCCCAAGATGGATTCCCTGCTCTTTGGGTTTCTCCTACATCCCTTGAGGCCCATTCAACCCACATTTTGCTATAGATGCCACAATGTTTTGTGTTTCTCTGCATGCCATCGCAGAAGCATTTAAAACTCCATGCACAGCTCCTGATGCTGACAGTGTGTTGACATGATCTCCCACGGAATAAGAGAAGTCCTAATACATGGAGAGAAATGCCTGGCTACGAAAGCTTCACACTGTCCTAGAGGTCAGTGCTCTCCAGTCCCATTAGGAAGCAAATTCCAACATCGACCTTTTCCCCAAAAAATGCCCTGTCTCCCCAGCTGCAGTTGCAGCAGCTCTTGACTAGCAGACCGTAGCCCATCCTCCCAGAGTGAAAAGTCAATGAGTCCCTTGCAGACATGAGATGTCCCAGAGGCAATCTTGCGCTTTTGAAATCCTCGCTGATTTATCCAAAGGGAGGGTTTTCATCTGACAGTTCTATGGGCATCTGCCACAGATTAACTTCTCTCTTTGTTTCTTAAATAACATACTATTTCTTGCAGCTCCTCTGCCCATTCCCTGGTGCCTCACTGATGGTAAGCGTGGACATGGGAGAGGTAAAGTGCAAACTTCACAGGCTGCAGCCCTGACCAGACGCTGGAGCTCCAAGGATCCCATGTCCAATTTGTTTTTCTTACTGGTTTTATGGCTCTTCTAATATCTCCTTAAAAGTCAGTATCTCATCTCTGAGTGGTCCCATACTTTGTACTTAAAGAGCAGCTACTTGAAGGATCTTACCATTTCACCATACCGCTTGATAAAGATCCTCAGCTTCCATTTTAAAACAGTTTTCAAGCATGTTTGTGCCAAAGTGTCCCAGGTGTCTGGGTCTTACTAGTTCCTTCAGTTTATAAGAAGGCTCCTTTAGCTTGGGTTTGGAACTTATGATAGCTGTTTCAAGTAGAAATTAACCTTATCCAGTGCCTTATGAATGCAGATTTTTTTCTCTCTGATACGATATCACTGGTAACATGAAAAACCACCTCAAGCTACCAGTGTGATCCTGCTTATGCTGCTTCTCTAACAGCCAGATCCCAACCCCGTTGAAACAAAGGGCTTCCCTCGACTTCAGCGAGTGTCGGATCACGTTCTGAGTGCCTTTAGTGCTTGTTACTCTTCCTACCTTTTCTGTATAATATGGATTAGGTGGGGGAATAAAAGATTTTGGCAAGTTGGCCAGCACTGAACCCTTGAATCTCTGGATACCCTGTGATCCGTGTTGGCCTCCATGTCCTGTTGCTCGCTTGTATTATGTCCAATAGCCTCTCAGCAAGCGAAGGGTTGAGTTCTGCTTTTCTATTGATATTCCTCTGCCTGCAAAGCCCAGACTGGTTGGAAAGCAGGAAGTGGGAAGGGGGATTTTGAATTTGTGATCTCTTTCCATCTACTGCTGTCACTCACACCTACCTAAAACTGAAAACGAGTTTGTGC